AAATATAAAATTATTACAAAATATTTATACAAACCTAAAATGTCCCTAAGCCTTGTTTTGCTGTGGGGCTCCCCATATAGTGTGTATATTTTATAATATTATAAAAATTTATATGGTGCAGGAATCTAATCACATCAAAAAATAATTGTTTGCAATAAAAGTTTAATAATTTTTTAACTAAAAATAGTTTTTAAAAAAATCTTTCTATAATTATATTGTTTAAGACCTAAAGAATATAAATATAGAAAGTTTTTTAATTTCATAATAAATTTAAAAATTTCGCACTTTATTTTATTAATAAAGATTAAAAATTCAGCGCTAATATTATAAAATACTTTTTAATAGATTGATTAATATATAAAAAAAAAATTTTTTTCAAACTTTAATTTCTCTTTTTTTTTTTTATTCAATCTCTTAAAAATTTCAACACTATTAACCATTATATAAAATTTAAAATTTAGCACTAAATTTTTAATTCAGCGCTAATTTTTAAAATTTCAGCACCTGAAATTATTCACATAAATTAAGCATGCACTGTGCTCGGTATTCGCATTTTGAGAAAGTAAAACGCAAATCACGAGATGTGTTACGATTATCTAACCAATTTTGATGATTTTAATTCTACATGTTTGTGAATCAAAATAAAAAAAATTATCAAACTTGGATATGTAGTTACTGAGAAATATTTATTTATGTTTAAAAAAATTTTGCCACAACTTCTTTTTTATTGGTACTAAAACTTTAAGCAAGGTTTTCTTGATGAATATCAAACCAAATTCGATCAAAATTTTTTAATTTAATTATATAGGATTACGAAATTAAAATAAAAAAATTTGGTTAGATATTCATCGAAAAACCTTCGCTTAATTTTAGTATCCATAAAAATAAGTTGTGGCAAAATTTTTTTTTAAACATTACATACATAACCAAATTTGATAATTTTTTTTTTTATTTCGATTCTACAAACACGTAAAATTAAAATAAAAAAATTTCATGTCTTCATCGAGAAATTTCAGTTAAAGCTTAAAAAAAATTTCGATAAGAATAAATTTCTTTTTAAGATTTCTTGGTGAAAACATGATTAAATTCGATGAAAATTTTTTTATTTTAATTTTGCGTGTTTGTAGAATCGAAATAAAAAAATTATCGAATTTGGTTATGTATTCACTGAGAAATATTTATTTAAAGTTAAAAAAAAAAATTTGCCGCAGCTTCTTTTTTATAAGTACTAGCGAAGTTTTCTCGATGAATATTTAACCAAATTCTATGAATTTCTTTTTATTTTAATTTTGCAATCCTACATAATTAAAATGAAAATTTTTAATCGAATATGGTTTGATATTCAGCAAGAAAACTAGGGATGTTAAAAAGTCCGTCTGGTCCGGTCCCGGTCCAGTCCCTAAAAAGTCTGGTCCTGAACTAGTTAGGAACTAGTTCACAACCCTGTGTGAAACCGGTCCAGCCTTGGCAGTTTAATAGGTTTATACAATACATATACATACAATACATATCATAATATGATATGTATTGTATATATGTATATTTATTCACCCAATTAGTTTAGAGCCTATTTAAATTCAGAAATTTAAAAGTATTATTTTTGATTCATTCCATATTAATTTTCACTTGAAATGTCAAAAACGTCACTCGATCCATATCATGTGATTATCTGGACTAGTTTCGGACTGATTGTAGACGGTCCCTAAAAGTCTTAAAAAGTCCAGTCCAGAACCGGTCCAAAACCGGTCCCCTGCGGACCACTTAACATCCCTAAAGAAAACCTAGTGCGGTTGGTCTTTAGTATAGCTGGGCAATATAGAAATATAATAAGATTATATAATATATAAAAATAACTATTTGAACCTATCAAATAAGTCCATCCAATCAATTTAGTTTTGTATTGTTATAATAATTTGATCTTTTAAATTTATTAATCAAAATTCTTCGATCTTCCATATGGGGTATATAGAAATCGGTTTTGAAAACAGTTGTAAAAAATTTTTCGACATGGATGATATAAAGTGAATTGCAAACTTAATGCAAAATAGAGCACCAATGATAACCTTTTGTCATAAAGGGGCTAACATAAGCGTGAAATTGACTTGATATGAGTGACGGAAAGAGAAAACCTGTAAATCATTTCACTCATTATCATCGCAGTGAATTCTACCCCTGAGGACTCAACGTTCTACTGTATTTAGCTTAGTAAAAGTTATTGAGAATAGGTAATGATTCTATAATCAATCGCGATTTCATTCAAAATAAACGCCAAGGTTTTACGGATAAACTTAACTTATGTCCCTGAAAAATAGATTCAGTTCAAAAAATTAGAATAACTTCCTTTTAAAATTATAATCACCATATAAAAATGAGATATTAAACTTAATGAAGTACTGTATAATAAAATATCTTGTATGATAAAGGTGTTGACATAAGGATTAAATTGTTTCTGGCAACTATTATCTAATGCAAAGCATAATTATAATTATAATTGACAGTGAGGTCATACAAGATTAAATTTTAATTGCCACGCACCTTTTTCCGACATTGAAGTTGAAATGATATCTAACTCGCGTGGTATATTCAAATTTATCGATGCTTCCCAATTGAGAAAAGTTTAAAGCCATCAGTAAGACAGGGTGCGATCTGTTGACTATCATTTCATGCTTTTCATATGGAAATGATTTATGAAAAGGGAATATGAAAGTCAAGGATTCAAATATTTATATTGTATGTATTTTTGGTAGTTATATTTTTTTGACATCTTTGACACACATCACATCGAGACGATGTATGCGATACTCACTATTCCTATCTGTTTTTTCTATTCTGTTTTCTTCTATTATGTAAGTTGAATATTAAATTTTTATGCATCAATTTGTGCTCGAGACATAAAACTTATCATCGCATAAAATCAATTTCTATAACTTGATCCAAATATATATAATCCTTTAAAATCGAAGGTTATCGAATCCCATTAGCGCTCCTATTATACTTTTCAACTCTAGTATCTGAACAAAAGCGAACACCTACCAAATTTAAAACAACGATTAACTGCTGTAATCACCAAGACAATTGTTGAAACATTACCATTATGGATGATAAGATCTATATTCGATTTGACGGGCGCCATTGAACAAATCGCAAATGGAATGTATGCGGGTAAACAAAGAGATAAATGGTGCCGTCGACTGAAGGGTGGGGATGGATGGGATGGATACCTGATTGCTGAAGATGCCAAAACTACTGATGTTGGAGAAAATGCCGATATGGTTATCTTATATGCGCACGGTAATATTTCTTTACGTATTTGTTGAAAAATATAAAATTTTTTTAACACGATTTTGCAATGTTGTAGGGGGTGGTTTATGTGCTGGTGGAGCCTTGTTATCCTTGGTGATTTTTGTGAGGTAGATTAAAGCATGGAAGCTTAGCCATGGGGCCAATACGCACATATTATCGTTAGAATATGGTATAGTGAATTCTTTAAATTCTTAACACACTAGACTTTATTTATGTTGCATTTTATGTAACATCACAGGTCTTTCACCGGAACATGTCTTTCCTTCGGCACGTGAAAGCATGTTAAAATGCTATCAATGGTTAATCAATGAGAAAGGAATTAGCCCACTTTTGGTACTGTATGTTGTAAATGCCTTAAATCCTTCTAGCCATCATCAATTCTTACAATATTATCAAATTAATAGCTGGTGATAGCATTGGCGCAAACCTTGCCACAACAGCATCCTTAGAACTTCTCAAGAATCCGGTTGCCTACAATAACACTCCTCTACCATCACGTTTGCTCCTTATCTCTCCTTGTCTATCAGTAATTGCTTTTCAAATACATCGTCGTTAAAAATAATTGCTACGACTGATGCTGATTTTTGGAGTCTCAATTTGAACCCATTACACCTGTCAAAACTTACGTACGCACGTACGTACGTACCTATCGCTATACTCTAACCCTAAAAATAAAAAAAAACTCAAAATACTTTTAAAGTAGGCCCAAAATCAGCATTAGCCAAATCAGCATGGCGATATATTGCATTCCCATTTTAACATAATTTATATCTTTACAATAGGCACTCAGCACCTCACGAACGTTCGAAACAAATTATGATTATGACTGTATAAGTAAGATTTGGTTCGATTTTTGCTTAGCAAACTCCCTGGGTAACACTAATATTCATCCAACGAGCCCTTTAATATCCCGTTATTCGAGCGTAATTTACGTGGTTTACCAAAAGTGTGGATATGTGTTGGTGGTTACGAAGTATTCATTGAGGACGTAATGTCATTCGTAGAAAATGCCAGAAACCAAGATGTTAGTGCCGAACTTTTGATTGAACAAGATAATGTGCATAATTATGCTATTTTGTGGCCGTTATCAAGACATGGAGGTGCGCAGAGGGCTATGAAATATATGTCTAGATTTTTGTTTGGTGAGAGATCTGTTAGTCAAAATCCAAGAAATTAAATGATAATACGTGAATACGTGAATAATTTTTATTAGATCTTTGAAAAACTGTTATTTAAGATATTTAATGTAAAAACCTAATTCAATTTTATTTTAGGGCTACTGTACTATGATTAATGAGATCAAGAATATATTTTCTTGGCTATTTTGAAGTGCAGATTCTAATTTTGAATAATAGCAGCTCTTGGTATTATTTTCTAAACTGTTAGTTTTACATCTGTACGTAGTAGGCAAAATTTTGCTTTTAAAATTATTAATATATATATTTACAGATAATAAAATAATAGCTAATATTATCAAAAAGCAAAAAAAAACTTTATATACGTAGTTTAAAAATTAGCAAATATATTAATTATATACTAGTGTTTGTAGTCGATCGACTTGACTAAGTCGATATTTAAAATTCGGCTTAGTCGGCTAAGTCAGAGTCGATAAATATTTTACCTTTGGAATTTATCGGTGATTTCATCAAATTTTTGTCGCGGCCTTGCTCGTATTTTTATGTTCGTTGATTTTCTTTTCGGAAATTTTCAGCTCTTACTCTTAGTACTACTGTACTATGTACTAAGAGAGGTAATGTATCGAAACTGATTGGTACTTTATTTAATATAATCTACATAAAATCGACTCGACTAAGTCGGTTTTATGGAAAATCGGCAGACTAAGCAGGCTAGGTCGATAAAAATCGACTATGCGAAATTGACTACAAACACTATGATCATGAGTCAGAGCAATCTTAATGCCGGCTAAATTAGACGGTTAACAATTAAATAGGTAGAACAATTTTAATATAAAGTCCAAAAAAAATTATCCATAAGTATAGAGAATTAGTTTATATATTTACTATATCTGCATCTGTCTCGTGGATACTAGAAAAAAAAATAATAGCTAATTTATTATTACTAATTTACAACATTTTTTACGATGCTTATGTTTACGATCAAGCCACAGGCGTGAATAGCGTCACGGTTATTTTGGGTAATATTTTTTTAAAACTAGGCCCTTATATGTAATTATTTTTAATTTGGGCTCGTATTTGCAATTATTTTCACTTTCCAGGCCCTTATTTGTAAATTCCCCTAAAATAAATTATTTTTCTTCTTATATAATAGTAAATGTAGGTCATATTATATCATTGAGGAGTCACACAACTATATCCATAAGCCTAACTTAGTATGATAATTAAAGAATTAATGAACGAAATATTTAGTTTGGAACAAAGCAGAGGATATCATAATTTACACTGGACTATGCATTTACTTAGTTTATTGGCATACTGTATAGATAGAATTTTGCGCGATATTACGAATAGTAGTAGAGTATGGTTTAGTAAAGTAGTGAAGTATGCTACAAAAATCGCATTTGAGTATATAAAACTTGCATACTATACTCATAATATGTATTACATATAAAATAGT